TGTTTTTCATTTTAAGGCCAGTGATATTATAGCAACTATAATTCGTACATAGAACAGAATCTCTGCCACTGAATGCTAAAGCTTTTTTCTTCCTCTGAAAAAGACCAGATTTTTTTATAACTGAGATGGGGACAAGTAGTTTTAAGGTTTAAGTAATTGTTGATAAAGTAGCTTTCCAATTATCACAGCCCTGCCAGGAAAAGCAGGAATGCATTGTTTGTTAATGATCACAACCAGGGGTCCATGCTTAACTCTTTTGTCAGAACTACAGCAGATCCTCCCTGCAGCTTCACCATTAACATGCCTGTTTCCTGTCAGCCTACTCAGAGATAATGTCATTTATCTCAAGGGGGCACAAGACCAGTCATTAGCTTCAATAACAGACTTCAAACAAAGGCCGGATGATGTTTTATCCAAGGTGCATGATCAACAGTCAAGAATCTTACTGCTTAAGAATTAAGAAATTTAGAGCTTCCATTTAAAAAAAACCCAATTGTTTTCACATAATATATCAATAATTTTACTTAACATTTTTAAAGAGTTCATTTCTTAGAAATGTAAGTGGACAGCTTTTATCACATATGATTTGATAAATGGTATTAACTCACTAAATTTATCCTTTGGGAGATTTCCCTCTCTCTTCAAAGTTCTTTTTTTCTTTTTTGCCTCTGGGAAAAAAATGATGGAATAATTCAACCACTTGCTAAGTAATGAGTCTTTTGAAAAACTGACCCTCATTGTGGTTGCCTGCTGGAGTTGATTATGTGTATTCTCAATTATTCAGTGTCAAACTAACCTTTCATTAAAAATATGGGTGACTATAATATATATCGTCCCTGAGCTTTTTTATTTTAGCAATTTATGATTATTCTATAAAGTTACATTTAAACATTTGAAATCTAAAAACAAAGATCAGCCAATGAGTTTATTCATCTCTGTTTTACTCTGAAAACTTGAAGTAGTATGCACACATTCCACTTTACTTGGAATTTTGTTATTGAACACCTCTGTGGTTATATGATATTTATGCTTGGCAGCATTAACATTCTTTTCAATTACCGAACCATGAAATGCTGCTTTACAAAAATAGTACTTATATAGCTACCATTAAAAAGGGCTTAAAGGAAAACTTCTTAAAATAAAGAGAATAAATTTAATATCAATATAGCTTTATATTTTTTTGCTTTTTTTCAACTGGGTATTTATGAAATTATTTATATTGGTAACATTTTCTGCTATCTCATGTCAAATCAATTTGTTTTTCCCATTTGTTCACAATGAGGAAATCTCTTTAAATATTCTGCTGTATAAATATTTCTCACCATTCTCTACTGTTTCAGTGTTACTTTAACCTTACTGAGGAATTCAATACAGAATGGACCTTGTCTGAGGAGGTCAGTATGTTCACAAAGAAAGCTTTCCTCAGCCTAAAGACAGCATCTCTTCACCTCCACCGCCCCGCTCCCAGCCAAATGTGGTCACACTACTAGACAACCCTATATAGAACATTAAGAACTCTGAACTGAGCTCATTGTTAAGCACCCAGTAGTTATCAGTGTTTTCAACAGCTAAATCTCTTATGTAGCTTTCAAAACTGTTTGCTGTCAAATCACAATGGACTTTGTTCTTAGCTACAACCCGTGACCTTTCTGCCCCTTCTCTCACTCAACTATGAATAAATGAGTCCCAAATCCTAGCATTCATGGGCATATTTACATACAAACAACATATACTTCCATAACCTCATGAAGTCAAAACATTTTCAAAATGTTCACTATCCTTCAACATTAAAGGAAACATGAAAAAGTTCAGAATGTGTACTACAACCAGTTACAAGTTTCACACTATAATAAATGTACATGAATACAAAGAAGCAACCTAATTACAACAGAAAATTACTCTGCATGCTGATAAAACAGTGAACAGCTCATCCTCTACTTCTTTTTCTAAAGAACAACCAATTAACAACACATATCCTACTTAAATGCATTAAGGTATATTATACACATTATATAACATTATATATGAAGTTATATAAAATTATCATGCAAAGTGTTGGATAAACACACAAAAAAACAGTAGGCAAAATATCAAAAAACCCCAGACAGCCAAATCTTAGGTTGATTAATTTTTTCTGTAACTTGATAGTTGAAATTTGGCAATGTTGAAATGGAGCAGGTTTTAACATTCCAGCCCCTCCTGTCACATCCTGGCAACCAAATCTTTTCCTTTGTTTTACTCACTGAAACATGTAATTGGTATGCTAAATACCAAAAGGGTTGAACAAGCACATAACCTCTGACATTTTGCAAATTTAAAAGAAATAGTTAGTGGATGCCAAAAGATTCCACTGAACATATTTTCACATGGCTTCAAAAGATAAACAGAAGAAACCTAAAATTGGCAATTCAGCAATACATAAGAAAATAAATTGGAATCACACCATTAAGGAAGCTTTAACTGTCTTTTTGTTATTGTTGTTTAAAAAAAAAGCCCTATTCCAAGAAAGAAACCTCAGAGTTTAAATGTTCAGCGATTGCTTAATTTAAAAAAGAAACAAGTTAAAAGACATCCAGATTTAAGTGTATAAACTGATTCATTCACCCACTGTTGCCAGATCCATGCTGAAGCCAAGAAAGATTTTATTTTGGGCTCTTCCCCAACTTGTCTCTCAATAAAGGCCAATTTAATTTTCAGGTTTTTTTTTCAAGCAAGGCTGCCCTTGAATGTTTGTTTGTTTTTAAATCCTGTTTGAAAAACAGCCATATTATTAGTTTTACATTCACATGACTTGATTAAAAGGAATTTCCCTCAATAGTAAAAGAAAAAAAAACCTCAGGATGTTTAAGACAGTAAGCCAACATCCTCCTTCCAGAGACAATGGGCAGCTCTGCAGGGCTCTAACAAGTGAAGCCATTAAAGTCAATATAAGGCTGCAGCAGTGGGTGTTACTAGTAATTCAAGCTCTACCAATTCTATACAGACAAGAACTGAAATGAGAAGTGTTCTTTTGGCAAAAAGCTACTCCAGACTGGTTTGTTCCTAGTTTACACATTACCTCATTTACATTACACTGGCTGAAATGTACTTGCTTGTGTATGAATTCATTCCTCATATAATTTCTTGTGCGACTAGTATGAAAAGGAACACAAAAACTGGAGAAAACCACACCACTCTCTAATCTCTTGTTGCCATGACAGCAGCCTTTGAGATACTGAAATGTTCAGATTGCCAGCTAAACAAAATTGTTGAATGTGAACATTTGGCTGAAAGATTAAAAGGCTAAGGGGGTTACAAAAGGGCAGCACCTCCCACATTCCAGGCATCCACTGAATCCAATCAAATGGCTCTGACTCTTTAACCACAACTATTGTGAAGACTGGATTAGGGCAATTTATCTAGATAGTTAAAGCAGATTAGAGAACTACAATTTGAAGACTATTGGCAACAAAAGCAAATGCCTACTGTACTAAGTTAATTAAAAAAAAAACAAGCATTGGATTTTAGGATAGTTTTCAGACCAAGGAGAAACACTGCACTAACTCAGAAGACAAACCAAATTTAGGATGTAAACTGAGCTAGTGTTTTTTTTCAATTGGCTGAAGGTAGCAGCAGGGGAGGGGGGGAGAAAGAGGTAGTGTTGAATCACCATTCAAAGCCCTAGTTTGCAGGCTTATAATTAGAAATTAATTTTATATATTATATAAGGTTTATGTGCTCTAAATTAATTACCTTGGCGATCATTTTTAAACCACACAATTTTTTGCAGCAAACAGTTTACTGTTGAGGAGTTACAGGAGCCTAATATTTACTAAAGTATATTGTGCAAATTCACCAAATGCCTTTTAAATAGCACATTTTCAGAGTTCTTTAAGCTGTAGTGTACTAAATAAGCCAGCTAAAAACTTTCTCACTTTTGGACATTAGGCTGGGAATTGTAAAGAGGAATAATGTCAAGACAATTGTATACAATCATGTTGCAAACCATTGCTCTGCATAGAAGTAGGGAGGGGTTGTCTTTTGTTTAAACAACCTGTGGAATTAATTTGAGTCTTAATTATAACGCAACAATAGCTCCCTGGATGACAAAGAAACCTTCTGTCTTCTGGATACAGAACAATTGGTGCTTACCCCAAACCCTGCCCCAGTGAGCAGCCAAGAGAAATCAGTAGCTTCCACTTCCCCTCACAATGCAAGGCCATTTATCCTTAACAGAGCACATTCTTCAGACTTTAGTGAAGAGGAAGAAAAACACACACATTTTTTCAGCTATTCAACAAACACGCAGTGCACATCCAGGAACTCTCTGAGAATGTAGATAAGAAGAAAAGAGACTTCTGGACAGAGGACAAAGTGTTCATCTATATTTGGAGATAAAGGTTGTACACACAGATTTCAGGACAGTGTGGGTTCCCCTCCCCCACTGGACTTGCACCAAACAGCTTCTAAGCACACGGCATGCCTGCTGACAAAGCATGCCTTATGGCAGTTTCTGAATTATGTAGAGCGTCTTGGCTTTTGTACAAGAGGCAATAACTCTCTAACAACTCCTTCTCCCCACACCCACACCAAGATTATCTCTCTAATTCAAGGAGCTAAAGGAATCAAGAACCTGTTTAATCGCTCTTCCTTGTAAATCAAAGGATGGTGCAAGTTATTCAGGTACCTGGAGAGACAGAACACCTCCACTCCCCTCCCCCCCTCCTCCAACAGACACCACCAGGATTTCAATGTAGGATACACACAAAAGGCTTCATTCCAAACAGCAATCACAACAACCTCCCAACTTGCAAGATAAAACACAATGAAGGCAAAACCCATCAAAGTGACAATTTAGACATCTTTTCCTAAAAACCAAACACTCCATGTCAGATAACATATAACCCCAGGCCATAGGTAGGCAATTCAGAACATTAACTATAAAGAAATAATGAACCACATACAAACAGAAGCAGAGTTGTACAAAATTTATCGAACAATGAATGGTGAATTACTCCTACCTTTTCTGTTTTCAGCTTTTTTATTCTCCTGTGGCTTTCCTCTTCTTCCTCTTCTTTCTTTACCAAAATAGAGTTCCCCATTAACCCTGAATCTGGAGCACTTTTGTTCACATCCCCAGCTGTGGAGGAGGAGGTACAATTGAAAGGGATGCTGCTCCCAGCACAACCTCCCTTGGCCCCAAAACTGTACAAGTGCCCAGGAGCAGTTTGGCTAGAGTTATTTGAGGGTCCTTGCTGTAGATCAAGTTGCCGGTCTTTCCTGGATTTCCCTCCATCTTTATCCCGCTTGGAGCCTCTGCTGGCTTGGGTTTTACCTGTTTTCTCCTCCTTAGTTTTCCCACAATTGGCAAGAGTGTTGTTATTGATGCTGGTGGTACTATTATTGCCATTTGGGCTGCTGTTCATACTTTGACCCAGTGCTGAATTCATGCCACCTGCCTCGCTTGGGCGCCCTTGGACTTCCTGCCTCTTGCCAGCACTGCTGATTTCAGGAATTCCATACAAGGCAGCAGAAGGCAGAGATTTACTAGCATCCTTCGAAGTTTTACTCCTTTTCACTTTTGATTTGCTAGTTTCTTTGTGTGAGGAATTCCCCTGAGAAGCAGGGGGCTGAACAGAAGAAAATTTTAGGCCATCAGCTAAGGCTGAGGTAGGATTAACTCCACTAGAAGCAAGACTCCCACAATCCTTGGAATTGGTAGAATTATTCATCTCAAACTTTTGTCTGTCTTTTTCCAAATCTGCATCCAAATCAATAATTAAATTCCCAACCCCGATTTCCCAGTCATCACCACTGTCATAGGTATCAACTGTGTTTGGATCCACACATTTGCCAGCAGTGGAAGTGTTCAATGACATCCTGAAGATGAGAACTCTTGAGTAAAAATCAGACGAACTTTCCTTTGTAGATGAGGGGACATTCGTTTATCTCCGTGGGACTTTTTAAAGTGTAACTCTTCTTGCTTTCCTCCCCCAGGTATATCTGGGTATATACCCTGAAGTCCAGGTCCACCTTTTCCTGTGAGGAAGGGGAAAAGTCGAATATTTCTTGGCTGGGTCTTATCAGAATACAGTCAAACTGATATTAGAGGCACATAAGAAAAGACATTCCATATATTAATTTTTGACATGTCTGTAAAACTGAAGCCTTTGATAATAAGCCTCTTTTCTACGGTTGCATCCCATCATCCATGATAATTTCTTAAAATGCCATGTGCCCAAAAAACAAACCAACCAAAAAACTCCAAGCCCAAAATAATTATACTCTTAAATTGCAGCATTTAATTCCACAAAATTCAAAACTATCAAATGTGATTCTGTATCATTTAAGCACAATGAGGAAACCTCTCTCTCTAAAACCCATTTTCCCCATTATTGGGGGGGGGGGAGAATCACCACCCCCTTCAAGTTCTGTATCTGTTCCCTAGACTGAATTAGCTTGTTTCTGTAAGGAAGTATCTCTGAGAACAAAATAACAATAAAAGTACATTCATTCTAAGATTTTAATCTGAGGGAAAGGAATGCACCATTTTTATTTAAAATGCATTTAAGATAACACATCTCAAAGTGGTTCTAATGTCCACTTAGGTCACCTACTGCTCAGACTGTTAAATATAGTATTACTGACTGTACAGGAAACTGATTAAGACATACACTTTAAACGTTCTACACCAAGGTGGCCTCTAACCGCAAGAGAGAGTGTGCTTGACACAGCTTAGCTAAAATTATTTTTAAAGGAATCTTTTTTCTCTTAATGTCCATGTCCAAATATTTAGATATATATTATGTACATTGCTTACCTTTAATCCTTTATCATTTTTTTTAAAATTAAGCCAGAGAAATCAAAATTCTGTTCTTGCTGGTCTCAGCAAGAACTCAATATCCCACTTCATTTTACTTAAAGAGCAAGTAATCAAGAAGTAAAAACCAACTAACATTTCGGGCACTGTAATCGTCAAGAAACATATTTCCTTCCTTTTTGGCACACAAAAGAGGTTCTTTCCTCCCACCTTTTTTTTTAAAAAAATATGGTTTTCCTTCTTAAGTATTTTGTTCCTCACAACTTCACAGGCTGAAAGATAGTATTTCACATTCAAAACACCAGAAGCCACAAGCACACAAAAAATCCTTTTTTTCTTCTTTCCTTGAACAAGCACCAAGATATGATTGTAATAAAGAAATAAAAATTGAAAAACGTTTTCCGCAAGTTCACATCCAGTCTTCAGTTCCAGCTTCTGTAGCCATCCTGATCAGTAAGTAATGATTCCATGAAACAAACCTACAGGCGTCCGGTTGTTACAAGGCAGAATGTGCTAACATCGAGGAAAATTAGTGAAAGGGGGGGGGGAGGGAAAGGACTGAAAATCTGGGCTGGATTCCGCCTGTTAGTTGGGAAGTGGGGTTTTTTTTCTCCTCCGGTGCTCACAGATCTGACTTCTTGAACTAACTTGAGGGGGGGGGGAAATGGAAGGGAGAAGAGGGAGGGAATAAAATCAGGGTCTGATGAACCAGTTATCAAAACATCTGATGGAGTGTTGAAAAAAAAGAAAGTCTGAAAATGAAGCAAATATTCCTAAACAGAGAAAATGATTGAAAGTTTTTGAGGGAATAGGTCTTTTTTTCCCCAATTAAATACCAGTTCCTGGAGAGGAGATGTAGTTTTAAAACAAACAGATCACAGAATGAGCCATTCGGTAATTAAGAATCCGAAGAGATAAAATGTGTCATTATTTTTAGAACAGAGATTTTGTTTGGTCCTCCCTTCTACTCTCGAAAAATGTTTCAGCCAACGCTGGTTCATCTTTCACATTTCCTTCTTCCCTTCTCGCCTTTCGATCTTGGCTTTAGTATTTTTAATTAGCTGGTGTTTGGAAGATAAAAAAACGGTAATGAATTGTTGATAGATTGGAAACTGCAGAGTCGGTTCGCTGGAAATGTATCAGGGAGAAAACAGAAGAGGGAGGCAGGGAGGGAGGGGGATGGGCGGGTTAGTAGCAACCAACCACCTAAAAGGAGCGATTTTGTTACAGTTCAAGCTTTTCACATCACGTGAGGATCAAGGGCTCAATTGGTTGTCGTGAGAACAAAAAATGGGTGACAACCGTATCAAGAAAATACTGATCTGGTCTTTAAAAGGCGGAGGGGGGGAATCTATTTCCTCTCTTCCTTCATCCCCCCTTTCCCCCTCCCTACCTGCTGGGGCTGGAGCAGCTACAAGTTATGCATCTGAAACGCTGCTCCCGAGAAGTGACTACTCCCGATATAAGAGGTGAAATGAGCACCCCAGGTTTGCAAACCGTCTGTTGCAGTGGGAGGAGGGCGATCGTCCCCTTTCTCGCCCTTTCTCTGAATTCGGTGCCATCAGGAATTCGCCATGAGGAGGATGGCTTCGTGGCGGATTTTTAAATGCCTCTCTTCTCTTTCTCTCTACAGCACAACGAAACATTCCGTGGCATTCAAATTAGTATTTTCTTTATTGGATCATGGCAGTTCTATGGGCGGGATAGGGGAACCGGAGCAGCTTTTTAAGGGTGGTAGAAAAATATTCACTGCACCCACAACACACGGGCATCCTCCTCCTGCCCCACTTTTAACAGCAGATTGTTTATTTGCATGTGACAGAAGAAAATCTTTCCCTTCCAAAGGATCTTAAATTCGGTTTTCTTTATCAAGCTTTTGTTTTAGGGCTGATCTTGAAGCAAGGAACAAGGCGATCTTTAAATCTGTTTTTTTTTTAAATTTCCCCCATTTGGTCAGTTAAACCCCAAAAGGTAATACGCTTTAGCGCGCTCCTTCCCCCCTGCTCTTCCCCTCAAGTGTACTTTCCAGGATGATTTGTGTGAGAAATTGCAATGCTTTCACCCTCTCCTACGTACCCTTTGGTGTATTTTTGTTTTAAACCCACCTACAACCAAGCTTTCTTTGCAATGCACATCTTTCTTAACGCTCGCTTCCCTTTTCATATGAAAAAGAGACAGATAAGAGAGATAAGATAGCTCTAAGATATCCCCTCTAAGTGCTATCGATACACACGAAGTCGTACTTACTGTATCGAATCGAGTTGACCTTTTCCTTCTACAAGTGCAATGAGTGTGTATGGTTGCAGTCGATTTTTTTTTTATTTTTGGAAAAAAAATTAATTTCCTCGACAGATTAAGGGGGGGCTTTTGAAGAAAAGAGCACCAGATTTCGTGAACCATTAAAGGCTTTTTTCTAAATTGAAATAAAAAAACTTGAAAACATAGAGCCTTTCATTTTCTCACATGAGCTCGCTCTCTTACACACACTGCATAAATCAAGCTGCCTTTACTGCACTACTGAACAGCAGAAATCAGAACTGGAGAGAAGCTAGAGTGTGAAACAAGCCTAGACTCCCGTACCTGAAAGGGACTTTTCTTTGTTCCCAATGCCCTTTCCCTTCTGTCCAATCAGAAGCCAGCTTTTATGAAACTGAGCCGTCTCATTGGATGGTGGTTCTTCTTAGCTGCCGGAGGGTGTGAGAAATGCGCGCACACCCACATACAGACACAGTCTTGTATTTTGCAATCCTCAGCCTATAGGAGTCCTCCATTAGGCAAGTCTCTTGCTACAGCAAGATATAAATATGTTTCCTATTTCAATTACGGCATTAGCCTATACGTTTTATTTAAATGAAAGGATCAGGTAAGGAGGGGGTAGGACTGCACCATATATCCCAGAGACGGAATAGAGGGGACTCCCTCGTTTATACCATTTCAGCGTCTAAGATTTGCGTCTGCAGGCAAAGCCACAATTAATGGCTTCCTTGTGCGCCTTTTCCAAGAACCAATTGAAAAATCTTACCGTTTCTCCGAGTGTTTTCTCCCCCCCCCCCACTGACTCTCTGTACCATTTGACTCTGTACGTAGGTCTTTTCTGATATTGATGTGTGTTTTCCAGAGCAGAAAGGGGTGCGTGTGAGAGGGAGAGATATTTTCCCAAAGGAAAACAGTCTCTTTCTCCTTCCCCCATTCTCTTTGCTTTGCAGGGGTATTCAGCCGACATGCTGCGCGATCGCCTTTTCTCACCCTTCTCCCTTCGTTTTTCCACACTTTATTTTCTGCTCATTTTTACAATATGACTTAAGTAGGGCATTTCGATTTTTATTATGGAGAGGAGTAACCCTTTTGTTTCCAGCTTGCTGATTTACTGCTGCAAGCAGTGAACTGGAATAGGAAGAAACCACTTACCAACCGCGTGAACACATGAGTGAGAATGCAATTATTTTCTGGTCGCCCTTCCCCCAGTTAACCTCTTTGCAGTGAAGCACTTCATCAAGAATTATATTTTGTTGTAGATGTACAACCAAGAATGTACTAAAGCTGTGGTATATTCTGGTGTCAGAAAATTGCAAAGTCTGCATTGGCGGAACCTATCTCGGTAGCCCTTCCCCCACTCTTTCTGTACAGAGTATGTTATTTTGTTCCAGACAGCCTATTTTACATACTTAAGCAAAACCTGAAATAATCAAAACGTCCAGTTATTGGAAGATAGTGCTCTCAGAGGTCATGCCTAATAAACCATTAAGCATGTGCACGATAGTTAATAGCAGCCATTGTTTAGATGGACATATGTGTTTTATAGCTTCTTTAAAAGCTTTTGGTTTTGCTGTTATCTTTCATCAATGGGAATCAGGAACGCGTTTTTAAAGAAATACTTCAACAGATAAAAGAACAATTTTCTCCAAATGTTAAAAGTACAAAATTTGAAGTATGGGGTTTCAAATATAACAGCTTGCACTCAATTGTGTGGTTTGATATTTGGATACCTAAAAGCTATTCTGTTCTCGGCTCGATATTTGGTGCTAAATCTCTGTATGAATAAATATGATGAGCCTCCTTGAAACAATATATTTGCCTGGCAAGAATTGCATTTGATCAAACCTAGGGTTGAGCCGCTTTGTGTGCTTACCACTGTTGTTGAGGTCAAAAAGACTTACAAGTGTAGCCAATGTACACAATGCCCAGTTATTCTTGCTCACATCTTACATATTTGCCAATTGCCCTAAAATTCTTCTGCAAAAAACTTCCATAATTGAGTTTCTTTTTTAATGAGTTAACAATGATTGGAACAGTTCTGCACTGCCACTAAATTTTGGTACAGTTGTAAATGCATCCAACAAATGTTATGGAAGGAAGGGTTTTGATTACAAACACACCAATCATGAAATAGCCACATATGTCACTAATTTATTAGGTGATTTTGTTTGATTTGGTTTAATTTATACTACTCATGTAGTTTGTTATTTTTTATATATTTATGGCACATAATTCTTTGTGATCCTGATCATTGTGGCTTATTCAACAAAATTTAACAAAATCATTAGTGCAATGTGTGAACTGTAGTATAGTTTAATGACAATAATGCAAGACTATATTTGTATAGAAATAAATTCTGCTTTGTTCAGTTATGCACTTTGCAGTTATGATGTAGACCTTATGAAGCACAGAGTAATTATATTAATCCATGCCAATAATTCATTGTTAACTAGTAAAAAAGATCACAATTTGTAATTCATCTCTTAAAATTATAATTCTGATACTGCCTGCTAAAAAAAGTAAGAACTTGGGTCTGTAGATTCAGTTGTAAAATTTGAACCCTCCAGGAAGGCAAACTGGATATTTGATTGGGAAATCTTGAATGCAACAAGAAGAGCCCTTTTAATTTTTAGTTCTGCGACATAATCTGGTCTTGCAAAGAGAAAACTAAATCATTGTTTCCCTCTACCGTGTCCACTATCCAAATTCAATTTGGTATAAAAGATATTTTTGCATAGCAGATTCTTGAAGCTCAGAAAAAGTTGTATAACCTTCTTATTCAGGAAATTACAAAAAAGTTATGGAAATTAGTGCCAGAAAACCGTCTCTTTTACTTGGAGAAAGGATTAAGTGATTGAGTGACACTTTATATGGGATATACTGTAGTAAAGGGAATTTAGGAGAAGTAGTTAATGCTGAGGCTAATGCTATTTCAGGAAGAGCTGAGATAGCCAGTTCTATACCTATTGAAATGTCAGTAGTGTATTAAGCATCTCAGTTCATAAATACTGCAAATTCAGCCATCTCTCTCTCTCCCCCCCCCATGTCTCCCTCCCCCCACCCTCTCTAAATAGATAACAGTAAATACA